GAAAACATTGAAAAATCGAATAACTAAAAAATAAAGAAAGTAAAAAGCTGAAACGAAAAATTGCAAATCGAAAATTTGAAGATTTAAAAAAATAATTGCAAAAATGAAAAATTGAAAATCTAAAAATTGACGAAACAAAAAAAAAGAAAATTTGAAAAATCGCAAATTGAAAAATTGAAAAAACGAAAAACTGAAAAAATTAAAATTGAACAACCAAAAAATTAGAAAATCGAAACATTGGAAATTTGAATAATCAGAAAATAAAAAACCGAACAGAAATTTGCAATCAAAAATTTGAAAAAATAAAAAAATTGAAAAATTAAATTTGAAAATTGGAAAAATTTTAAATTGAAACACTGCAAAATCTAAAAAATAAAGAAAAAAAATTTAAATTTAAAAAATCGCAAATCAAAAAATTTGAAAATCACAAATCAAAAAATTAGAAAATCGAAACATTGAAAAATTGAATAATGTATAATCAAAAAACAAAAATAAAATAAAAAAACCGAAACAGAAATTTGCAAATCAATAATTTGAAGAAATAAAAAAATGAAAAATTAAATTTCAAAATTGGAGAAATATTAAATTGAAACACTGCAAAATTTAAAAACTGAAGAAACAAAAATTATGATAATTTGAAAATTTGCAAATCGAAAAATTACAGGGAAAAACAAAATTATAAATTGAAAATCTAAAAAAAATCGAAACACGTCAAATCGAATAATTAAAAAATAAAAAAAATGAAAATTTGACACAAAAAATTTCAATTCGAAATTTTAAAAAATGCAAAAAAGAATTGAAAAATTAAAATTGAAAATTGGGGAAATTTGTAATTGAAACATTACAAAATCTAAAAGTTGAATAAACAAAAGTAAACGGAAATTTGAAAAATCGCAAATCGAAAACATGAAGAAACGAAAAACTGAAAAAATTAGTCGGAAATTTGAAGAAAAGAAAAAAAGAATTGAAAAATCAAATTTGAAAATTGAATTTTTAAATTGAAACACTGCAAAATGAAAAAAAAAATGAAAGTTCGAAAAATCGCAAATCGAAAAATTGAAGAAACGAAATAGTAAAAAATTAAAATTGAAAAACAAAAACATTAATAAAATCGAAACTTGAAAAATCGAATAATTAAAAAATAAAGAAAATGAAAAATTGAAAAACTAAAAATTGAGAACTCACGAAATTTTAAATTGAAAAAAATTGCAAAAATATAAACTGAAAAAAACAAAAAATTAGAAAACCAAAACATTGAAAAATCGAATAAGGGTGTGGGGACAAAAAATCTGCACAAATTTCAAACTAGAATAACTGTATTATAAAAGCAGGTATTAATAACGTGATCAACAACATTTATAAAAACAACTTTAAAGAACACAATCTGCACCATATCTACTTGCTTTACGAATTTTTGTTTTAACACGGCGCATTAAATTTGTAAAAGCCGATATTTTTGTTTGCCGTATTTTCAGCAGTATACGCTTCTTTAATTCTGCATCTGTCGAGGCTTCCCATCCATTTTCGTACCCATTTCTCTTTAGGTTTCTCCAAAAACGTTCAATTGGGCGTAGTTGAAGTACGTTGGGAACATTTTTGTCCTTAGGGATAAAAGGAATGCTTAACTCATTATATGCAGCAAAAACGTTAGCTGCGTAATGAGCTGTTGCCATGTCTGGCCAAAATACAAAATTGCCATCCGAATGCTTTTCTCTTATAAAGCGGACAAGTCGAGACCTAATGCACTGTTTTTCATAAATATCTGCATTAACAGAATTTCCAGATGGGCAAATAAACGCAGTAGAATGTCCACGTGACGAAATGGCCAACCAGACCAACAACTTGGACTGAAATTTTTTATAACGTTTGAATTTCACTTTATCATCTACTTCTTCTCCTTCCTTGCAATAGAAATGTTTATTGTTAGCAGTATCGCTACCATCAAAAGTGAAGTAGGATTCGTCATCGATGATTATTTCAGTTCCATTTGAGGGGGAAAAAGCGGATTCAGAAAGATGCCTTAATTTTCGTTTTTGTTCCAACTTTTGTTTTTCTGAATATTTAGGGGCGAATTTTCGCGTTGCAAGTTTGACATTATTCTCCTTTAATATGTTGCTAACATACTTTTTGTCAATTTTAAATTTCGGTCCAATCTTTCTTAGTGAAACACCAAGTTTACCGTGACTTTGATTGACTAAGGCTTCTCTCTTCTTCTGGGACATTTTTCTTGCTGGTCTTCCGCTTCCTACTTGTCTTTCTACCGAATTCCCATTCTCTACTCTTCTGCAAATGCTATAAGTTGTCCTTTTTGATATCCCCATTTAGAAGAAGTGATTAACGGTGAATGACTTTTTTAAATGCATAAGCCTTCTATAAAATTCGGCAATCACAGATCGGCGATCATTTTCATTTAAGTGTTCCATTATTACAAAAAATATTGAAACTTTCAAGAGGAACTAGGCATAACAATTTTTAACAACTGTAAAAAAATGTTATAACGTCAACCGTCATTTTTCTCAAAGCTAACTCGATTTTCGGTGAATTAAAATTTGTGCAGATTTTTTGTCCCCACACCCTTAATTAACAAATAAAGTAAAAAGCTGAAACGAAAAATTGCAAATCGAAAATTTGAAGATTTAAAAAAATTTATTGCAAAAATGAAAAATTGAAACTCTAAAAATTGAATAAACGAAAAAAAAAAGAAAATTTGAAAAATTGCACATTGAAAAATTGAAAAAACGAAAAACTGAAAAAATTTATCTTGAAAAACCAGAAAATTAGAAAATCCAAACATTGAAATATCGAATAATTAAAAAATAAATAAAATAAAAAACCGAAATGTCAAATTGCAAATCAAAAAACGAAAATTTGAAAAATCGAGAAACTAAAAATCTAAAATTGAAGAATTCAAAAATTGAAAACCGAAAAATTGCATATAGGAGTAGAAAAATTGAGAAATGCAATAATTGAAAAATTTCACTGAAACAAGAAAAATTATAAAATTTGAAAAACCTAAAAATTGAAAAATAAAAAAACACTAAATCGAAGCGAAAAATTAAAGAAGAAAAATTGAAAAATCCCAAAATTTAGAAACTAAAAATTGAGAACACGAGAAATTTTAAATCGAAAAATTGCAAAATCTAAAAATTAAAGTTACAAAAAAAAAAATAAAATTGAAAAATCGGAAATCTAAATATCGAACAAACGAAAAATTGCAAAAATAAAACTGAAAAAATCAAAAATTAGAAAATCGAAACATTGAAAAATTAAAATTCAAAATCGGAGAAATTTTAAATTGAAACACTGCAGGGTCTAAAAAGTGTAGAAAAAACCGAAAATTTAAAAAATCTCAAATCGAAAAATTGAAGGAGCGAAAAACCAAAAAAAGTTAAAATTAAAATTGCACATTAAAAAATCAAAAAATGCAATAACTGAAAAGTTTCACATTGAAACAAGAAAAATTATAAAATTTGAAGAACCGAAAAACTGAAAAACTAAAAATTCAGAAATCTAAAATTTGAAGTGACAAAAAAAATAAAAAAATGAAAAATCGCAAATCATTGAACACTGAACAAACGAAATTACAAAAATTAAAATTGAAAAACGAAAAAATTAGAAAATCAAAACTAAAAAAATTTAATAATTTAAAAATAAAAAAAATAAAAAAAACTGAAACAAAAAATTGCAAATCGAAAATTTGAAGACATGAAAAAAAATTGAAAAATTATAAAGTGAAAATTGGAGAAATTTTAAATTGAAACACTGCAAAATCTAAAAATTCTATATAGAAAAATTGAAAATGCAAAAATTGAAAAAATTCACATTGAAAAAAGAAACATTATAAAATTTGGAAAACCAAAAAATTGAAAAAATAAATAAAACAACAAATCGAAACGAATATGTAATTGTAATTCGAAAAATTGAAGAGATGAAAAATTTTAAACCGAAAAATTGAGAACTCGAGAAATTTTAAATCAAAAAATTGCAAAATCTAGAAATTGAAGAAACAAAAAATAAGATAAAAAATTTGAAAAAACGGAAATCTAAACATTGAAAACTCGAAAAATTGCAAATCGAAAAACTGAGAAAACAAAAAAAAACCTGAAGAAATGAAACATTCAAGTCAAAAAAGCTGGGGGAATGTCATTTCCACCACTGGTTTTTACTTTATAGACGTTATCAGAAAACAAAAATCGCAGAAAATTTTTACAATTTTTCAAAAAATCGGGCGCAGTCGGGAAGTTCGATCGAACTAACTTTCATCCAATTTTTTCATGATTCGTTTAAAACACAGAACCCATGCTTTAATAACTTGGTTATTTCCGGTCGAATTTCCAATCGACCCCCATAATTACGCCCTGAACTCCGATTGAGCGAATGTCGGACTCTGCACTTTTACGAATGACCCAATTCGTCGTAAATCTAGTGCACCAGACCCAGAACTGACCCAATTCCTTGCGGTTGTGCGTTTCGTTGCGTTTATGTTCGAATTCCGGTCGAAAACCGCGTTAATCGAGCTTTATTGCGCCTAAACTTGTTATAACTTATTAGCCGGAGCTGCGAATTCCCCGCCAGAAGTTTCCTTTTTTCCGCTCCTTCGACTAACAGAAACGTAATAAAGGGATACAAGTTAAATTAAATCTCTAATTGATACGTGACCCTCGCAGCCGCATTTTACTTATGGCGCTAACCCATTTAATTAGTATTCGTGTGGAGTTGTCAAGTGGGTCTCTGATAAAGTAAACTCTCGTTCGGTCGAGGGTGCTTTTGCCACTTTTCCAACACCCACTTAGGTAAAGAAACAGAAATAAATGTTGCTGGGGTGCAGTGAATGTCAGGAGCGAGGGCGAGTGGAAGTTTGTAATGGGGTAAATTCTACAATTGGCAATTTCTGCTCGTATGGGAGAATGTGGAACTTCGAGTGTTGGAGAAATTGAAAATAAACTATTAAACGATTGGGTGTATTGTGGAAATTTTAATTCAACCATTTTTTTTTTCAGCGTGGGTACTCGGATGGTGGATGTGCAAGACTGTCCCGTATATACAGGGTGTTTCAGTAGCTGCTTCAGTGTACAGTCTAATCGCAGTCTCGTTAGATAGGTAAGTACGAATAGAGCTTATGCAGCTCGCTTGTTATGACAGTATATTTGGTTGCATAATTATTCAGAATACTAACAACTGCAATGTGTTTATCATTGGATTAGTGTTAAGTGATGGGATTAACCTTCACCTGTGTTTAGCAACCTTCACTAAACCATTAATTTAAAAATCTCGGTTATGAGAAATAATAAATTTGTCACTGTCAACGCTTCATTAAAGGTGACTGAAAGCAGTTGGTAGCGATTTATGAGCAGATATTTGTGGATGATTATTCTCACTAATTAATTTTCCATTATTTATGGAAATAGTATTAATAAATCGTCGCCTGAGAACTTATCTGATCTACAGACCAGAGCGCACTCAAGCCAATATCGTCTCTAAGCGATTTATCTATAAGCCGACTTTCGTTAGAGGCCCATCTGGTCCGAATTTACAACGAATAAATGAACATTTTAACGATTTACATTTCCAATTTTTTCGATTTCTCGATTTTTTTATTTTTCTATTCTTCAATTTTTCAAATTTTCGGTTTTCCGATTTTTCAATTAATCTATTTTTGATTTTCTCATTTCTCTCTCGAAGTTGTTCAATTCTTCGATTTTTCGACTTCGCTTTTTTAATTTTTCGATTTCCCAATTTTCCAATTTTTTTGGATATTCAGTTTTTCATTTTTTAAACATTTGATTTTTTAATTTTTCGACTGTTTTATATTTCTATGTCTTAATTTTTCGACTTTAGATGTCTTAATTTTTCGATATTTCAATTTTGGGCTTTTTCAAATTGTTCATTCGCGAAATTTTCGATTTCTCGATTTTTTTATTTTTCAATTTCTCAATTTTCCGACCTTTCAATGATACGATTTCTCAATTTTTGTCCTCATCAATTTCACTACGGTTTTAAATATTTCGATTTTTTAAGTTTTCAAATTTTGACGTTTCTGAATTTTTAGTTTGCCGATTTCTGAAGTAATCTGTTCTGATTTTCCCATTTGCCGACTTCTCAGAATTTCGAATTTTTTCAATTCTTCAATTTTTCGATTTTTCAGGTTTCTGATTTTTCAATTTTTTGATTTTTTTAAGCTTACGATTTTTCGACTATGCTTTTTGTTTTTCGATTTCTCAATTTTCCAATTTTTTAATTTCTCAATTTTTTGGATGTTTCAATTTTTTGGATGTTTCAATTTTTCGACTTTTCGATTTTTGAACTCCTGGATTTTTTGATTTCTCGATTTTTCACTTTTTGGGTTTTCAATTTTTCGTTAAACTTTACATTTTTCAATTTTTCGTCGGTTTTATACTTCGATTTTTCAATTTTTCCACATTTTGATTTTTAATTTTTCAATTTTAAAATTTTAGGTTTTCCGATTTCTCGAGTTTTCAGTTTTTTCCAATTTTTCTTTTCAAAATTTTTCGATTTTTCAATTTTTCAATTTCTCGATTTTTTTATTTTTCGATTTCTCAATTTTCCTGTTTCAATGATAGGTTTTCTCAATTTTTGTCCTCTTCAATTTTACGGTTTTAAATATTTCGATTTTTCAATGTTTGAAATTTTGAAGTTTCTAAAGTTTTAGTTTTCCCCGATTCTGAAGTAATATTTTTTTATTTTCCCATTTCCCGACTTCCCAAAGTTTCGATTTTTTTCAATTCTTCAATTTTTCGATTTTTTAAACTTACGATTTTTCGACTTTGCTTTTTTAGTTTTTAGATTTCTCAATTTTCCAGTTTTTTAATTCCTCAATTTTTGGATATTTCTTTCAGTTTTGGGATTTTTCAATTTTTCGATTCTTCGACTTTTAAGTTTTTCGACTTATTTTTTGGATTTTCACTTTTTTATTTTTTAAACTTTAGATTTTTAAATGTTTCGTCTGTTTTATATTTCTGTCTCTATTTTTCAACTTTAGTTGTCTTAATTTTTCAATATTTCAACTTTGGGCTTTTTCAATTGTTCCATTCGTCAAATTTCCGATTTCTGGATTTTTTTTTATTTTTCGTTTTCTCAATTTTCCATTTCTTTCAGTTTTTTGAGTATTCAATATTTCAATTTTTCGACTTTTAGATTTTTGAACTCCTGGATATATTCATTCCTCGATTTTTCACTTTTTGGATTTTCAATTTTTCGTTAAACTTTACATTTTTCAATTTTTCGACCGTTTTATACTTTGATTTCTCAATTTTTAAAATGTTGGGTATATTTCATATTTTCAATTGTCTGAATTTTTAAATTTTAAATTTTCCAATTTTTCTTCTTAAAATTTTAGATTTTTCAATTTTTCGATTTCTCAATTTTTTTATTTTTCGATTTCTCAATTTTTCTATGTTTCAATGATACGATTTCTCAATTTTTATCTTTTTAAATTTTCCGGTTTTAAATATTTCGATTTTTCAATTTTTCAAATTTTGAAGTTTCTAAATTTTTAGTTTTCCGATTTCTGAAGTAATCTTTTTTTTATTTTCCCATTTCTTGACTTCCCAAAGTTTCGATTTTTTTCAATTCTTCAATTTTTCGATTTTTCAGGTTTTTGATTTTTCAATTTTTCGATTTTTTAAACTTACGATTTTTCGATTTCTCAATTTTTCAATTTTTTAATTTCTCAATTTTTTTGATATTTCTTTCAATTTTTTGATTTTTCAATATTTCAATTTTCGACTTTTCAATTTTTGAACTTCTGGATGTTTTGATTTCTCGGTTTTTTAATTTTTGGATTTTCAATTTTCCGTTAAATTTTAGATTTTTCAATTTTTCAACTTTTCGATGTTTTTGATTTTTCAATTTTTAAAATTCTGTTTTTTTGATTTCTCTACTTTTCAGTTCTTCTATATTTCCATTTTTCAATTTTCCAAATTTTTATATTTTCGATTTACCAATTTTTCTTTTTTAAAATTTTTCGATTTTCCAATTTTTCGATGATTCGATTTCTCAGTTATCCGATTTTTCAATTTTTCAATTTTTTCAATTCCGTAGTTTGGATTTCTCAATTTGTCGATTTTTCAGTTTTTCGATTTTTACATTTTAGATTTTCGAATTTTTATTTTTTGATTTTTTGATGTTTAGATTTTCTGATTTCTCAATTTTCCAACTTTTTAATTTGTCAATTTTTTGGTTATTTCTTTCAGTTTTACATTTTTCAATTTTTCGATTGTTTTATACTTCGATTTCTCAATTTTTCCATTTTTCAATTTTTAATTTTTCTATTGTTAAAATTTTAGGTTTTTCGATTTCTCGAGTTTTCAGTTCTTCTATATTTCAAATTTTCAATTGTTGGAATTTTTCAATTTCCAATTTTCCAATTTTAGTTTTTAACATTTTTCGATTTTTCAGGTTTTTGATTTTTCAATTTTTTGATTTTTTAAACTTACTATTTTTCGACTTTGGTTTTTAGTTTTTCGATTTCTCAATTTACCAAATTTTTAATTTCTCAAATTTTTGGATATTTCTTTCAGTTTTTTGAGTATTCAATATTTCCATTTTTCGACTTTTCAATTTTTGAACTCAGTTTTGGGATTTTTTAGTATTTCCACTTTTCGATTCCTTGAGTTCTCGATTTTTTACTTTTTGGATTTTCAATTTCCCGCTAAACGTTAGATTTCTCAATTTTTCAACCTTTCGATGTTTTTGATTTTTCAATTTTTAAAATTCTATGTTTTTCGATTTCTCGAGTTCTCAGTTCTTCTATATTTCAATTCTTCAATTTTCCGAATTTTTAAATTTTCGATTTACCAACTTTTTTTTCAAAATTTTTCGGTTTTTCAAATTTTTGATTTGTCGATTTATCGATGTTTTAATCATTCAATTTCTCGATCAACTGATTTTTCGATTTCTCGATGTCTTAGTTTTTGGATTTTTCGACGTTTCGTAATTTGGATTTCTCGGTTTTTAGGTTTCGGGCTTTTCAATTTTTCGATTTTCCAATTTTTTGATGATTCGATTTTTCAGTTACCCGATTTTTCATTTTTACGATATTTTCATTGTTCAATGTTTTAAATTTTAGATTTTTTGAGTTTTCAGTTTCTGAGTATTTCCATTTTTCAATTTTTCAAATTTTAACTTTGCTAAATTTTCATTTTAGCGATTTCTCTATTAATCTGTTTTTGTTTTTCCCATTTCTCGACTTCTCAAAGTATCGATTTCATCTTGGATTTTTGATATTTCGACTTTGCTTTTTTAGTTTTTCGATTTCTCAATTTTCCAACTTTTTAATTTTTCAATTTTTTGGTTATTTATTTCAGTTTTGGGATTTTTCATTATTTCGATTCGACTTTTCGACTTCTGAATTTTTCGATTTTTCGATTTTTATTTTTTTGGATTTCCAGTTTTTGGTTTTTTAAACTTCAGATTTTTCAATTTTCGGGATTTTTAAACGTTCGATTTTTCAATTTTTGAGATTTCGATTTATCGAGATTCGGATGTTTTGATGTTTAGATTGTTTTCGATTTTGGCCTATTTATATTTCGAAACATTGAAAAATTGGAACTGAAAACTCAAGAATTCGAAAAACCTAAAATTTTAAAAATTGAGAAATCGAATTATAAAACAGCCGAAAAATTGAAAACTCTAAAGTTTTAAAACGAAAAATTGAAAATCCAAAAATTAAAACGTCGAGAAATCGAAAAATCCAGAACTCAAAAAATCGAAAAGTACTAAAAAGTCCCAAAACTGAAATATCGAAAAATTGAAAATTAGGAGAAAATTTGAATCGAAAAACTGAAAAACCACGAAACTGAACGAAATATTGAAAAATTGGGAAATTAAAATATTGAAAAATTGAGAAATCGAAAAGTCGAAAAATTGCAAACATAAAAAACCGAACTGAAAAATCAAAAACCCAATTTTTCAATTTTACGATATTTTCATTGTTCAATGTTTTGAATTTTAGATTTTTTGATTTTTCAGTTCCTCAGTATTTCTATTTTTCAATTTTTCAAATTTTAACGTTGCTAAATTTTCATTTTAGCGATTTCTCAATGAATCTGTTTTTCATTTTCCCATTTCTCGACTTCTCAAAGTATCGATTTCTTCTTGGATTTTTAGATTTTTCGACTTTGCTTTTTGAGTTTTTCGATTTTCCAATTTTCTAATTTAAAAATTGAAAATTGGAAAAATTTTAAATTGAAAGACCGCAAAATCGAAAAATTGAAGAAACTGAAAAATCTAAAATTGAGGAATCGAGAAATTAAAATCGAAAAATTGAAAAATTTCACATTGAAAAAAGAAAAATAATAAAATTTGAAAAATCGAAAACTTGAAAAAATAAAGAAAACAATAAACCGAAACGAAAAATTGTAATTCGAAAAATTGAAAAATCCAAAAAATTCCAAAATTTGAAAACTGAAAAAACAAAAAAAAATAAAATGAAAAATCGCAAAAACAAACATTGAACAAACGAAAAATTACAAAAGTTAAAATTGAAAAACCAAAAAATCGAATAGTTAAAAAGTAAAGAAGATGAAAAACTGAAACAAAAAAATGTAAATCGAAAATCTGAAGAAATGAAAAAAAAATTATAAAATTAAAAATTGAAAATTGGAGAAATTTTAAATTGAGTCCCTGTAAAATCTAAAAATTGAAGAGACGAAAACTTGAAAAAATTAAAATTGAAAAACTAAAAATTAGAAAATCGAAACTTCAAAAAACGAACAATTAAAAAATAAAGAAAATGAAAAATTGAAACAAATAATTGCAAATCGAAAATTTGAAGACATGAAAAAAATTTATTTTTCAATTTTCCAAATTTTAACGTTGCTAAATTTTCCCATTTGTCGACTTGTCAAAGCATCGATTTCTTCAATTCTTGTATTTTTCGTTCTGAATTTTCCAATTTTTAAATTTTCCAATTTTTGGATATTTCTTTCAGTTTTTGGATTTTTCATTATTTCGATTCTCCGACTTTTCTATTTTTCGACTTTTTTAACTTCACATTTTTCAATATTTGGAGATTTCAATTTATCGAGGTTCGGATGTTTTGATGTTTTGATTCTTTCCGATTTTTCGATTTTGGCCTATTTATATTTCGAAACATTGAAAAATTGGAAAATCGAAAAATTGAAGAACTAAAGAACTGAAAAATCGGAAAACTAAAAATTCAGAAATGTCAGAATTTGAAAAATTAAAAAATATTGAAGAACTGAAAAATCTAAAAATCGAAAATTTAAAACATTGAAAAATTAAAATATCGTAAAATTGAAAAATCGAAAAATAACTGCATTTTTTAATAATTATTTACTAGTTAAACAAAAAAAAATTTTCATGTCAAAATCGAGTGAAACATGTGATATATGTTTGTAAATAAAAGCATCTAAATAATAACCACATCCCACAGAAATTCTGAACGCTTAGAGTCGACATTGGCCTGCGTGCACTCCGGTCTGTGGATCAAACAAGTTCTCAGGCGACGAAATTAAATCTGCAAGCACCCAAACGACAAACCTACATTTCATTGTTTGCAAATCCTATAAACCATCTTTACGACCAGTACCTTCGGAGTCTAGACAATTTAAATTTACAACCCTCACAAATAAAAATATTGCTCCCACTCGTCACAAATTTCCAATATCTCGGATTTTAAGACCCATCAAACCAGCAAAGTCAACAATTAATCTCAAATTACGATTGGTTATTGCGTCTGATGCGTATTCTTAATCGAAAACGCTCCAAATGTTGGCAGCTTATACAAAATTTTCATTTTACTGAAGGTCTGGGGTTTATATTAAAATTCCCTGATATACGAGTGTAATAGGGACACATTCTGACCTTTGCAGTGTCGTCGTGTGAGTTATGGACGATTTTACGATTCGAAGGGTGATGATTTTAACTTGTTGCTTTAATAAAAAATCGGGGATGAGATGATTGCGCGAAGTAGGCGACGAAAGGAAAAAGGACTAGGACGCATCTAACTTATAGTTGTCTCATCACATTAACCTATTTCTTATCAAAACATCGGATCCATCATACGAAATTATCGGTGTGTTCTGCAGCTTTGTTTAAAAGTGGGAAAGCGGCAGTTTTTTTGACCTAGTTGTGAGTGGATTTGGCGTTAATGGCAACTAAATTCTTATCGAGTGAAAAGTGTGACAGAGTTTCCAAGTTTTCGGTGGAGGATTAGAGGAAATGTGTTGGCAGACGTGACGTGACCTGGGGACTTTTCTCCCGTTGCGAACAACATTACAAGAATTTAAATTTAGCGCTTCTGTGGACTGTAATGACGTCACGGTAATATTTTTGAATAGGGGCGGTGGTTTATTGATTGTCGTAAGAGTGGAGTGTGCAAAGTTTCTGTTACTGTTTAGAGTAATTAGAGTTTGAAGTTCTAAAAGGGAGTTGTGTGGCAGACAGTAGTTGAAACATTGTGTTTGTGAGATATCAGAGATAAATGAGGGGTGTTTAAGAAAGGAAAATTAATTTACGCTAAATTAGTCGGGGTGTATTTGAAACAAGGATTTTTTATTTAGTATTATGTACTATTATCAAACTATTACGGTGACAGCAATTTGCTCGAAGATGACCCATTAGCCGCTCTACTAATCACAAACCCTCCAACCGCACTTTACTACCCCAACCCCCGAATCATCCGTCAATCTTCGGAATGTTAATTGGTTCAATTCCGATTTATCCCGCGTTAAATTTATTCACAAATCTCGCCTAAAACAATCACTTTTGGGAAAATAGGTCACCTCACGTTCTCCGTTAAACCCCGATAATCCCGAAATCCGACTTCCTTCATCTCAAAATTTATTGCATTAACATCACCTTAAAAGACCAAACACGATTTGTATTATCTCGACACAATTAACCCAATTGTCGACGAAAATGAATTGTTTAACATTGATTTCACCGATGACAAGGTTAAGGAGAACCAGATGGGTTGGAAGGTTCAGGGCGGGACTTTGTATTATAAAAGACGCGAGAATTTTGCAACAAGCATACTCGACTCAAACAAGCAAAATGTTCAAGCTGGTAAGTTGGAATAGTTTTCATTTTTTTAGTTGTTAAAAATCGTTGTGAAATAGCTGACTTTCGCCGCCGTCTTGGCCTACGCTTCCGCCGCCCCCGGGCTCGTTGCTGCCCCCGTGGTGGCCCATCATGCCATTTCTAGTCACAGCACGGTGGTGGCTCACCCCGTCCCCGTCGTTAAAGCCGCCCCTGTAGTGGCTGTGCATGCTCCAGTTGTGCCCGTGGTGAAAGCTGCGCCCATTGTACCTGTGGTCAAAACCGCCGCCGTTGCCGTGCACGCCGCTCCCGTGGTTCACGCCGCCCCCATCGTGCACGCCGCCCCCGTTGTGCATGCTGTGCACGCCCCTGTGGTGCCTGTAGTTAAGTCGCACACTGTGCTTGTGCACTAATCTCAAAGCGATGAAACGTTTTTGTGTTATTTATTTGATTTTTTAATATAATTTTTACGAGTCGATTATTTTTTATTAGTGACCTTTATGAAATGGCAGCGAAAGCAGTAGCGAATTGGAATCTAGGAGACTATATGTTAAGATGGAATAAATTTGAGGTCGAAGAGGACTAAGAACAATTGGGCGAAGGTTATTAATTTTTTTTTCATTGAAGTTTTCAATTTCTATTTCTGCAATTATTCGACTTTTTAATGTATTGATTTTATAATTTTTTGTTTTTTCAACCTTAATTTTTTCCATTTTTCGTTTCTTCAATCTTTTGGTTTGCAATTTTTCAATTTGTCTTTTTTATTTTGCTCCTTCAGTTTTTAAATTTTGCAATTTTCGATTTAAAATTTCTCGAACTTTCAATTTTTGGATTCCTTAATTTTTCATTTTTTCAAATTTTCGATTTTTAATGTTCCGATTTTATAATTTTTTGTTTTTTCAATTTCATTTTTTTTTGTTCCTTGTGCTTAAATTTGCAATTTTTCGATTTTTCCATTTTTCGACTATTCGAATCAAAAAAATGGAAAAATTGAAAATAAAAAAAAAATAAAAACTAAACATGAGAATTCTGAAAAATGTAAAAACTGAAAATCAAAAACTTGAAAAACTGAAGAAAAGAAATATTGAAAAATCGGAAGATTAAAAATCCAGACACTCAAAAATCAAAAAAATGCAAAATCGAAAAAATGAAATATTGTAAAATCGTAATATTAAAAATCAAAGAAATCCGAAAATCAGATGATGGAGAAATCCATGAATTGGAAACCTGAAAGATTTAAAAATTGAAAAATCGTGGAACCGAAAAATCAAAGATCGAAAATTTGAAAAACTGAATAAACGAAAAAAGGAAAAAATTGTGACACAAAATCGAGAAATTGGAAATTAAAAAATTGGGAAAATGAAAAATAAAAATCTAGATCATGAAAAATTAAAAACTGAGAAACTGATAAATCAATTCAAAATTGAACAACTGCAAATTGAAGAAACTCAAAACTGAAACTAACTAACTAAATCCAGTTTTTTCGAAAATTGTAAGGTTTGATATTTCGAATATTATATTTGTATAATAAAAAATGAAAAAAAAAATGGAAAAATTGAAAAATAATAAAATTTAAAAACTGTAAAATGAATTTTTCCGTTATTCAATTATTCGTTGTTTTCAATTTCTTAATATTTCAATGGTTCAATCAGTGCCTCATTTTACAATTTTTCGATTTCACAATTTTTTCCGATTTTTAAGTTTTTCGATTTTTCAGTTTTTCAATATTTCGACTTTCGAATCAAAAGAATAGAAAAATTGTAAAATTGAAACATTTGAAAATCGAATATCGAAAATTTGAAAAATTGAATAAACGAAAAAAGGAGGAAAAAAACGAAAAAAATGTGACATAAAATCGAAAATAAAAATCAAAAACAAGAACAATTATGAAAATTATGAAACCGAAACAATGAAAAATGGAAAAGTTGAAAAATTGTGATTTCAAAAAATTATCAAAACGAAGAAAAAGAAACGAAGAATTGCAAAATTGATAAATAAAAGAAATTAACAACTACAAAATGAAAATTTTAGAAAATATAAAAACTGGTACTCAAGAACTTGAAAAATTGAAGAAACGAAAAACTGAAAAATCAAAAGATTAAAAATTGAGAAAAATTAGAAATCGAAAAAGTGCAAAATCGAAAAAACGAAATATTATAAAATCGTACTATTGAAAATTTAAGAAATCGGAAAATCAGATGATTGGGAAATCCAAAAATTGGAAAACTGAAAAGTCGTCGAACTGAAAAATCAAAGATCGAAAATTCTAAAAACTGAATAAATGAAAAATTGAGGAAACAAAAAATTTAAAATTGAGAAACTGAAAAGTGAAAAATTGTAGAATTGAAAAATTGCAAAATTGAACAATTGCAAATCGAAAAATTGAAGAAACTCATAAATGAGAAAATTGGAAATCGAAATTCAAAAATTGAAAAAATTAAAGTTGAGAAAATGAAAAAGTTATGAAACCAAAACAATGAAAAATGGAAAAATTGAAAAATTGTGATTTCAAAAAATTATGAAATCGAAGAAAAAGAAGAAATGAAAAATTGCATAATTGAAAAATTTAAAAATTAAAAAAATTAAAAACTATAAAATGAAAATTTTGAAAAATGTAAAAAATGGAAATCAAATACTTGAAAAATTGACGAAACGAAATATTGACAAATCGAAAAATTCAAAAATGAAGAATTGCAAATCGAAAAATTGAAAAAACTCAAAACTGAGAAAACTGAAAATCGAAATTCAAAAATTGAAAAAATTAAAGTTGAAAAAATGAAAAAGTTATGAAACCAAAACAATGAAAAATGGAAAAATTGAAAAATTGTGAATTCAAAAAATTATGAAATCGAAGAAAAAGAAGAAATGAAAAATTACATAATTGAAAAAATTGCGAACATGAAAAATAAAAATCAAGAGCAAGAAAAATTAAAAATGTAATATAGAAAAATTTTAAAATTAAACAATTTTATTGCAAATCGAAAAATTGAAGAAACTCAAAACTGAGAAAATTGGAAATCGAAATTCAAGAATCGAAAAAATTAAAATTGAAAAAACGAAACATGAAACCGAAACAATAATAAATGGAAAAATTGAAAAATTGCGATTTCAAAAAATTATAAAATTGAAGAAAAAGAAGAAACGAAAAATTGCAAAATTGAAAAATTGAAAAAAAAACCAAAGTATAAAATGAAAATTTTGAGAAATGTAAAAACTGGAAATCAAGCACTTAAAAAAGAAATTAAAGAAATCGGAAAATCAGATGATTGAGAAATCCAAAAATTGGAAAACTGAAAGATTCAAAAATTGAAAAATCCTGGAACTGAAAAAATAAAGATCGAAAATTTGAAAAATTGAGTAAACGAAAAAAAGAAAAAATTGTGACACAAAATCGAGAAACTGGAAATTAAAAAATTGGGAAAATGAAAAATAAAAATCAAGATCATGAAAAATTAAAAACTGAGAAACTGATAAATCAATTCAAAATTGAACAATTGCAAATTGAGGAAACTCAAAACTGAAAAAACTGGAAGTCTAAATGCGAAAATTGAAAAAATTATGAAACCGAAACAATGAAAAATGGAAAAATTGAAAAATGGTGATATCAAAAAAGTGGTCAAAGATAACTAAATCCAGTTTTTTCGAAAATTGTAAATAATAAAATTTAAAAACTGTAAAATGAATTTTTCCGTTATTCAATTATTGGGAACTTTTTCAATTATTCGTTTTTCCATTTTTTCGATTTTTAATTTTTGATTTTTAACTTTTCAATTTTTCGATCCTTCACTGCTACAGTTTTTCGACTTTCGAATTTTTGGGTTTTCCAAATTTTCGATTCGATTCGTTTTTTCTTTTTTCCAATTTTTCGAATTATTGATTTTTTTCAATTTCTTAAGGTTTCAATGGTTCAATCAGTGCCTCACTTTACAATTTTTCGTTTTATCAGTTTTTCGATTTTTCAATTTTTTTCGATTTTTAAGTTTTTCGATTTTTCAATTTTTCAATATTTCGACTTTCGAATCAAAAAAATAGAAAAATTGTAAAATTGAAACATTTGAAAATTGGAAAATCGAATATCGAAAATTTGAAAAATTGAGTAAACGAAAAAAGAAGGGAAAAAACGAAAAAAATGTGATATAAAATCGAAAATGAAGATCAAAAACAAGAAAAATTGTGAAACCGAAACAATGAAAAATGGAAAAGTTGAAAAATTGTGATTTCAAAAAATTATCAAAACGAAAAAAAGAAGAAACGAAAAATTGCAAAATTCAAAAATAAAAGAAATTAAAAACTATAAAATGAAAATTTTAGAAAATACAAAAACTGGAACTCAAGAACTTGAAAAATTGAAGAAACGAAATACTTAAAAATCAAAAGATTAAAAATTGAGAAAATTAGAAATCGAAAAAGTGTAAAATCGAAAAAACGAAATATTGTAAAATCGTACTATTGAAAATTTAAGAAATCGGAAAATCAGATGATTGGGAAATCCAAAAATTGGAAAACTGAAAAGTCGTCGAACTGAAAAATCAAAGATCGAAAATTCTAAAAACTGAATAAATGAAAAATTGTGAAAATGAAAAAATCGAGAAAAATTGAGGAAACAAAAAATTTTAAATTGAGAAAATGAAAAGTCGAAATAATGAAACTGTAGAATTGAAAAATTGCAAAATTGAACAATTGTAAATCGAAAAATTGAAGAAATTCACAACTGAGAAAATAGGAAATCGAAATTCAAAAATTGAAAAAATTAAAGTTGAAAATGAAAAAGTTATGAAATCAAAACAATGAAAAATGGAAAAATTGAAAAATTGTGATTTCAAAAAATTATGAAATCCAAGAAAAAGAAGAAATGAAAAATTGCATCATTGAAAAATTGAAAAATTAAAAAAATTTAAAACTGGAAATCAAATACTTGAAAAATTGAAGAAACGAAATATTGAAAAATCGGAAAATTCAAAAATCAAGAATTGCAAATCGAAAAATTGAAAAAACTTAAAACTTAGAAAATTTGAAGTCACAATTCAAAAATTGAAAAAATTAAAGTTGAAAAAACGAAAAATTATGAAACCGAAACAATGAAAAATAAGCTGAGAAATTGTAATATCAAAAAATAACAAAACCTAAGAAAAAGTAGAAACGAAAAATTGTAAAATTGAAGAATAAAAAAAAATAAATATTATTAAAAGAAAATTTTGAAAAATGTAAAAAGTGAAAATCAAGAACTTGAAAAATTGAACAAACGAAATATTGAAAAATCAAAAGATTAAAAATTGAGAAACTTAAAATCGAAAAAATGCAAAATCGAAAAAATGAACTATTGTAAAATCGTAATATTGAAAATTAGAAAAATCGGAAAATCAGATGATTGAGAAATCCAAAAATTGGAAAACTGAAAGATTTAAAAATCAAAAATCGAATAAACGAAAAAAGGAAAGAAAAACGAAAAAATTGTCATATAAAATCGAGAAAATGA